TAACAGAAGTTCAACGTCGGACAACCATTTCATATGTTACCCGTTTCCTTGTGTTTGTGTTAGTAGTTGATATATAGGGTATATACAAAAAATATATACATAGCCTATTATCAGTTTGAATTCCACTAAAAGCTCCCTGCACCAAACTCCCTTTAAGTAATGTGAAATTTTAACATTTCCTAACGTGTCCATATAAACAGGTTACTCTAGCAACACGAGCTAAAGGCCGTTATTAATCGACTTTCTTTTTGTCAATTCGGAATCAATATATTCCATAAAGATAAACTGTATTCTGAACGTTCCTAGTGTGAACTCGGAATTTGGTGTCTTTGCCTCTGCCATTAGCTATGTCCATAGAAGCTGCGGCCCGGTTACCACTCAATAGTGTGTATTCTGACGGGCAATTGCCCCCCAGTATTACCTTACAGACATTTCATCCCGTTTCACCAGTTCCAAAAACGTTTTACGCCTATATGTCAATATGTAAAAAGACATAACATGACCCAGCCCCATTGCTGCAGAGGCAGAGGGTTCGAGTCCGAGCTGTGTCCCTTTCCTGTCTATCTCTCAAGCTCTCCTGTCAAATAAAAATATCAGAAAAACATACAAAAACAATCCAAGTATCTCAATATTAAAGTAACGTAACCTCATTACTTTCTGTTACTTTTGGATTACTTCAACACCAAATATGCAAATAGACAAGAGAAAAGAAATGTCAGTATTGATCTAAGTTTATCCTATAAGACAACAGAACAATGTAACCTAAAATAGAACAAAGTGAAAGGTTATTATCTTCTAAAATGTGTATTTTTAGAAAAAAACTAAAGATTTTAAAATTGTAATCCTGCTAAATAATCCCTATTTTGACTAAATGTAACTGTAATCTGATTATGTCTTTTTTATGTAACTGTAATGGATTATAGTTACCTTTTTTGATCCTGATAACTCAGTTACACACACATATACAAAAAATACTGGAATTAACATATAAAGCAATCTGTAGCTTGCCAGGTAATTATTCATTCATTCAATCATTCTTCATGCTTGTAGCTCTCAGAGAGACTGTTGGAAACCTCTGTGTAAATTATCACAAAATAAAAAAACTACTCAGGTCAAATGAATGCATGTGAAAAAAATCTTTATTGAAAGCGTACAGTGTATAGGTTTCATATCAGCTTGAACACAGAATTACTCCACAAATGCATAAATATTAGGATTAAATAGTATGAAAAAAATTGTAGTTTCTTCCAATCAAACAGTGCAAAAAGGTAACAAAAACATACAACACATTTTGTGTAATCCTACTTTTCATAATAATAATGCATAATAGCACACACACGTTTTCAACCCTGCACCTTGTGACTCAGGTTTTGATGGTTTGTCACTTAATTTAACAGGATTAAAAAACCAGCAGTGATTTGGAACAGGAGAGAATCTGGCACTTTTAAGTCAAGTAAGAAATACAAGAAAAGAACAAAGGAGGAGTATAAACAAAAATAATGTATTTGCTTTCCAGAGGCCGTCACATGATTTTCTGTGCATTTCCATGTGGGAATCTAGTGCCAGGTATAATGCAAAGCCATAAATGTTCACATGTGACATACAGTGGCTTTAAGGTAATTAAAAGGATACTGTAAAAATAATTTATTTGCATATATAGAACTCTGTTATAATACTAATGCTACCTTTTACATTCAAACAGGGCAGCTCTTCCTCTCACATCCAAGAAGCGTCACATTATCCCAAAAATGTAAGGTGTTTAATATAATCTAGTAATAAAAGGGGTGTACTTCTTGCGGACGACCACGGTGGCGACTCCCTTCACGTCCTTCAGTCTGTCAGAGTCAAAGTCGACCAGGAGCTTCCTCACCCCGGTCCGCATGGGTGAGAAGGAGAGTTTGACAGACACCTTCTGGCCTGGCGCTACATCACCTCTGAAAAATGGAAAAGAGAGAGAGAGAGTTTTATTTGACTGTGTTGTCTATCAATCGAACCAGCCCCCTGTTTCCACCAGTTTTGAGTGGAACTAATTGTAATCAAGGATGCTTTGCAGAATGCACAACGACCTGTAGAATATGACACGCCCACTTTGGTTCCCAAAGACAACATGCCTTGTTGTGAAGGTGGTCGACTTACTTCACGCGTATTTCAGTGGACGACAGCAGGCCGCCGCCCTCCACAGTGAAAACGCCACCCTTCAGTGGGACTGGTAGAGGATTGGTGAAGGAGATATAGGCTGTCAGTTGTTCCCATACAACAGCCTTCCCAGGTACCTGGAGAAAGAGAGACAGCTTGATGTTTCTTGATGGATTTAATGCTAATAAGTTGCAAATGGGATGTGCGAACTTGGTGTCATGGTTCAACCACGAGCTCTGGGCATGTTCAGTGTGTACTCACCTGTACGAGGAGTTCAGGCATGCTCAGTGGGATGTTGGCCACGGCCATGATGGGTTCATTCTCTCCTGGAGCCTCTAAGAGCGCTTTTACCCTGATCAGATGATGTTCAGAGACACACCTGACGTAGTCGTCATAGTGCAGACGCAGAACTTCCCTGTGGACTGAATATTCCCCCCCCCCACACACACACACAGTATTAAACAGGAAAATGTTCTGCTATAAGATAAGATGAAGACACAGTACCTCTGCAACTGAGGCCTTTGTGGGTTTATTTGAGCTTCTAACCTTTGTGAGCGGGCACTGTCACACTGATTGTTTGTCTCTGGCACTCCCCCCGGTGGAGTGAATTGTAAGTTACAGCCATGGCCAGCATGGTCAGCTGAGCGTGAGCATCTGTGACACTTATGTTCTCCACCTGCAGACGGAATAGATTCATCATTGCTCAGACCTTGATTCCCTGAATTCACAAAAACCAGGCAAAAAGAAAATACAATCCTGCATCCCCAGATTCAGAATTGATACCTCAACAATCACATCGAAGTCTGTCCCAAAAACAGGCTTAGCATGCTTGATTGACAGCTGCAGTTGTCCTGGCGCTTCATTCCCATAGGCCGGCTCTGTGACCCGGCGTCCCGCCTTCTCGTACACTTCCCTTTCCTCCCTGGAACCTGTGGAGAAGATGTTGGATGACTATGAGCAGGTATTATAAGTAAAAAGTGGAGGAGTGTTACACAGTGCTGCTTCAGAGCGTCCATCAGTCACAGCAGTGGTTC